AACACAGAGGAATAAGAAATCCGATTTTATTCCAAAACTGTTGCAGCAGCATGCTCACTGAACACTAATTTCCACTGCTTAATATCATTAAGGAGACACTAAGCTCAAGTTATAGCTAGTTACCTATACTACCTTTGTCTTTACTTAGCATGCCTATAACATTCACCAGTCTCTGATCATTGCACACCCTAGAGTGTGACTACCTAATGCAGCCTTCCCAGTGCTATTCGATCTTTTGAGGACTGTATGACTCCTAGAACCTGACAGTTTGAGAAAAAGCACATATTAAGCTGTGGCACATGGTTTACGCAGAACAGAGGCTTTTGCCTCCTCACATCTCACCAAAAAAAGACAGCCTAGCTATTATTTCCCAACCTACTACTAAATCAAGTGCATGGAAGCCCCAAAGAAACAAACAAATTTAGTTACAGGGGTTGCAACTTAGTCTGTTTTCTTACTCTACTCTTATTACAATTATGTAAGAGAAAACAAGAAAAATAAACACATCTCCCCCTGCACTCCAGTTTTATGAATTTCCTTCCTGCAGTATGTAAACTGAAGTCATATAGTCCTCAGTGTCTTTTCCGTCTGCTCTGTTGTCAGCACTCTTCTCCCACACCTTCCTGAAACGGTAACACGCCTTCCTTTGTATCAGCCCGCCTCTCCCACCCCCCCCCCCCCATCTTCCTTGCATGTTCAGACTACTTCACATACAAATTTAGAATCTTTCTAGCATACAGACCTAGCTTCTGACATGTACAAAAACCAACATGGTTACAAAACTGATTTAAAAGTTAGCGCATGCTTGCCTTCCAGTCTACAGGGGCTACAAACTGATGGGGAATGAGAGGAAGAATTGAAGCAAAATGAAGTAAAGCTAACAAGGATAAAATCATCCTAAGAGAAGCCAGGGGCATTACTGAGACTTTTCTTTGCACAGCCAAAAAAGAACGTTTCTTGAACCTGAAAGAACTCCAGCATTTTAAACCTACATGCATAGAGTATCAGATGCTGTGTGCAATAAAAGTGTCTATGCATCAGTTATTCATACACTACCACTCAGATATCAGATACGCAGTTAGCTATCACCTTTGCTTAGGAAAAGTGAAATGAATTATAAATAACATCTACTCACAACTTTAAGAAGACAAAAAAAGGGTTTTTTAGGTTTAAAAGGTCTTACAAAAAAGTATTTTCAAGTGTACCAGGCCTAGAGCCTGACAAGTTTCCCTTTTTAACCTGGGGCTGCAAGAAAGGGAACGGGTGTTCATCTTAGAAAATATTTAAAATGCAGATCAATTACACCTACACCTAGGCATTTCTCCCTTAAGAGCATATTCACATAGATTACAATGTATTTGATATATAAATAGTACCCTGGGCCAAGAATGATGCTTGAAGCGTGAATCATCACACTACGAACTTGTAGGAAACATTTAAATTCCTTAAAAAGTGTTAGGATAGCTAACTTCTATAGAAAAGTACTCAAGAACCAACTCAGAATGAGAGTGAGGAAACAAAAAAGTCAGGATAGCTGAAAAATTGACATAGTGGCCTAACACATACAAAGTTCACCTACCAGGTGATTTCTTCAGAAGTACTTTCTTTTTTAATTGGTATTAGTTTAAAAGAATAATTTCACTTTAAAAGTACATTCTAAAGATCTGAGATGCAAACACACATTCTGAAGCTTCACACAAGTGTGACAAGAAGAATACCAACAAGCTCATTCCCAAACTGACTAGTTTAGCTCCAAATCACAATTAAGCTAACTGAAAGGGGCATATCCTTAAACTGATTACTATCACTGTGTGAAGGTCCCTATAGCATGCTCAGCATTATAGCACATAATAGCAAACTGAATCCTGGTTAACATAAAACTCTGAACTGGACCTAAACTCTTGACACCAATCAATAGAAACTGTGTGTAAAAATGTCAGATTTGACAATCAAAACTGGCAAAGTGTATCCAAAGTACCAGATGTCTTCTCACTAGCTGTGGTTCTGAGATGACAGATATGAAAACTGGATGAAAAGCAGCAAGTTAATTGGAAGATGCAATGCTATTTGTCTTTGTAGCAGCAACATCCACAAGGCTCCGCTTTTATCCGCTTTTTAGCCAGGGATGTAGGTTTGACCTGTCAACACTTCAGAAGGTCATAAATCAGTAATAAGCTAAAGAGAGTGCATATCATGAACTTGTACAGATTTTCCTTCGATTCTTTTCACCTCTCAACTGCCTTATGCTCAAGCGAGCTTTCTAAGAGCCATGCAGCAGAAGATGAAGAATGACTATTAAGCGCCATCTCTACCCCCACACCTCCCTTCCCCACCAAACTCAAATGTCAGAGTTCATACTAGGAACAAACCCAATTTACTTGCTCTCTTCTCTGACAGCAGAAAGCCAGAGAAAAAATACACTGAGGAAATTTTATCACTTGCTACAAATTAAAGAAATTCTCCACTTCAGCATAAAAGCACAAATTACAATTTACTACTACTTCGGGGCATCCTCAGGCATATCTAAGTATCCAGCTACATCCCAAACAAATTGGCTGGATTTAACATACACTTTGTTGAGGTACTTTTTGTAATCAGAACTAAAATATCATCCACTTTTGTCAAGAAACTACCAAATAACATTGGGATTATGTCAGGCAGGAAGTGTTATGGTTTGCCTTCTTCTGATGCAATTATAACACAGACATCACTGGAGAGACCCATTCAACCATCAGGTATGATCAAGTAGGGAAACAATGCGTAAGCAGCCCTCTACCCCAGGCCTAGCACACCAACTAGTTTAAAATGCATTCAAACCCCTGCCATAACTACTTCCCCACCTGTTATTAACCTTATTAATCTGAGGCATATTAATCGTAGAGCGGCATTTTACACGTCATTGATTTAACATTTGCAAACATCTAGGCTAAACAGGCTGAAGTCAGTGCTGCAGTGCTTAACCACAACATAAGAGGACCTCACTCTCCAAAAGAAAAGATGTTGAAGAGGGAATTGGTATTATCAAAGCTATTTACAGTCTCCTGCTTACATGCAGGACTGGCACTCACAAATTACGTGTCCAACGCCCTTTATGACAGTAGGTGAAGAAAAAAAAAAAGAAAGATACATGAAGCGAGAGAAATGACAAGTCTGTGGCATGACCGGGCGGGCGCCTCCTTGGCAAGAGAGCCGCTCTCCCAGCACAGACATTCACGCACCCTCAGCTCAACGCTGAGTAAACACCACACCAGTGCGGAGTTAAGCAGGGTTGTGACTCAGCCAGGAGTACGAGATTCGGTCCCACAGGGTAAGAAATTCGGGGACACGGGACCGGGGGCCCATCGGCGTTCCCTACTCACCAGCAAACAGTCCACGTTCACTTCGGATTTGGGGTCCTTTAAAGTCACGTCGATTTTTTCAAACCGAGACTCAAAGCTTTCTCCCGTCGACATGTTTCCAGAGATAAAAAGTTTCTCTTATTCCAGAGCAAAGTAAGGTTGAAAATAGTGAAGAAAATAAAAAATAAAAAACAGGAACAAGCGAGCACAAAAGAGAAACCACACAGCCTACACCAGGCAGAGGAGCGCTTCCTGCAAAATCCCTTCAATCACAGAAGTCTCTGAGGCTTGTCCCCCACGCTGCCCCGCCAAGGGGGCAGAGAAATGAAGGACAGTCCGCGGCAGGGGGGGAAAAGGCTGCTTCTTCCCCCTCCTCCACGCACGCACTTTCCTGGGCTGCTCACAACTCCGCAGCAGCAGGTTTCCTTTCCCTCCCTCCTCTACTCGGGCCCCAATGTCTCGGCAACCTCATTTTCCCAGCCGGGGAAGCAGCCTTGAGAGCCAGCGTAGCGGTTCCTCCTCCCGGCCGTGTAGGAGCGGCGGCGGGTCAGTGCCAGGTTCCGAAACACAGCTTTCTTTGCAGAAAACCAGATGAAAAAGCAACAATAACAGAAAACAAAAAGAACGGAAAAAATATATAAAACCGCAAAAACCTGCAACAAAATGAGAGTGGGAAAATAGGAAAATCCTCTTGGCGACGTGTCTCAGCACCGTGGGGTCGGTCCTTCCATGGGCACAGAGATCCCAGGGTGGGGCGGGGGACAGGCTGCCCCTCGCCTCGGCTGTGCCCTGCTTGCTGCGGGAGGGCGGGCGGGCAACGCAGGGCTGCCAGCTGGGCTCACAGGCCGCCCCGGCCCCGCTGCGAGCGCACGCCGCGGGCAGGGGGAGAGTCGCTTCAACAGCGGAGCGACGGCAACAGCATCGTTCTTCCCCTCTCCTTCTCCTCCTCCTCGCTGCGCGGCCGCCGGCGGCTCCTCACTGCTTCTGCCAAAGCCGGCTGCGCTGTCCCCAGCTCCACTCCTCCGCTTCAGGTACGGAGCTGCAAGCCAGACCACTTCAAGACCGACCCGAGGTTGCAACGCGAGAGGGAGGAGGAAAGGAGGTGGCTTAAGGGGAGGGGAGCGCGTAAGGTCCGGCCGCGACGATTGCGAGGAAACCTGCTGTGAGGAAAGATACCAACATGTCCGCCTTCCTGTTTGAACCGTCGGGGGGGGGCGGATGGGATCGGCGGCGCGGTGCGCATGCGCCGGGGGAACGGCTCCTGGGCGGGTGGGGCGGGGTGAAGAGAAGGGGGGGGAGCAGAAGGTATGCGCGCGAGGAGGGGGAGCACGGCCGCTGCTCCGCTCCCACCCGTCTTTCCCGCCCGCATTCACCCGCTTCAACGGTCGGAGGGTGCGAGCGCGCTCCACTCCCGCCAGACCCGGGAAGGGAAAAGGGCGGGGCGGCGGGAGCGAGCGTGGAGAGGATGAGGGGGTGCGCGCTCGTCAACGGCCGCGGCCCCGGCCCCGGCGGCGGGGCGGGTTTGACAGCCCCAGCCGGGAGCGCGGCGGGGCGCCCCCCTCGTGCCCGTTGTGCGTGTGCTCGATGCACCCGATGGTGCCGGCGGGAGGAGGTGTGCGCGGCGGTGCCTTCCCGCAGGCAGAGCGGCCACTGCGCCCCCCAGGGACGATGTTGCCCGCCGAACGCCTGCCCTGGCTCCCTGAAAGCACCTCAGAGCTGCCCGCGCCTTCCTCTGAGGGAAACGGCGCAGGGCTCTGCTCGCCGCAAGGAGGGGGCAGGTGCCTGTGGGGTGACCCAGCTCGGGGAATGTCTGTGGAGCATCCCTGGGGATCTTCTAAATCCGTTGGACAGTGAGCAGCCGGCTGTGGGTAGCTTTGCTTGAGCATGGAGGGCTAGAGAAGTTGACCTCCAGAGAGGCCGGCTTCCCAACAGCACAAGGTCGGAGCAGCCTAGTTGATGACCTAGTAAGAGCCATGTGCAAGGTAACACACCTAACTTTCAAAGGTTAGATGCGGCGTTAAACGTGTAACCTGTACAGCATATCTTTGCATACCGGTGTTTCCAGTTTAAAGTTACTCTGGGACTGCAGCAGGGATGTTTCTTCCAGTAAGGGAACTCCACTGAAGTAATGATTTCAAATCATATCGGGCAGAGGACACTGCACTGATTCACTTCATTGACTTCCACTGCAGTTCCAGAAATGGCAATGGCGTTTTTACAAAGATGACCAAAAATTATATACAGAATATCGAGTCATTAATCTATGTTTGCTGAACAGCTGCCAATAGCAGACCTGAATCACTAGCATTTTGAGTTATTTTCAATGTCAGGGTTAAGAACCAAATGCTCTATAGCCAAGTGCTGCTCGATCCTGGATAGTCACTCCTTGCGATCTTGTTTTAGTCAGAGAGAAAAAAAGAAATTGCATTCTGCATTCTGCTTTGTCTTGTCCATGGCTGCCTGCGTCTTTTTGTTTTTGTTTTTGTTTTCTAATAAGAAGTATGTACAGTTAAAGCAAAAATACATGCTACAACAACATTACACTCATGTTTACTTTCACTCATTTTGTGCTGGCTGTTACCACAGCCCTTTGATTTGGAGGGTTTGGTCGCTCTTGGAAATGCAGATGTTCCATTTCAGCAACCACAGTCCAAAGAGAACATCTCATATACTCCTCAAAAGTTACAGGGTGTAGGCTTGGGATCGTTTCATGTGTGATGCAGAAAGTAATTCCTAAAATACAAAGAAAACGCTTCTTATAAAGAAAATGCTTCTTACGCTCCTCGCATTAAGCAAGATAAAAATCATCATTACAGATACAGAGACTGGGTTCAGACGTTAAAACACAGGCAGGGATGAAGCCAGGCCTCCATGGGATGATTTGAAACACCTAGCTGCGAAGAATGCAAAATTCATGAAGCCTGTAATAGAGTAAGGAGGAAGAAGCCCAAATCCACAGCTCAGGGCAGGGTCAGCCTGTAGTGACACAAGTCCTGAGCCATGCTCCAGGTGTTGCTTATGTGTTTTATCCAGTATCTATGGGGAAGCGTGTAGGTACTCAGGGAAATGCAAAGCTTTCTTCCATCCTTTCCAGGTCTCCCTGCAACTAAGGTGCACGGGTCTTACTCTCACTTGCCTTTCACATCTTTGCATTACTCTGGGTTTTTTTATAGTGGCCCAGGTTCAACACAGTAAGTAGAGAGAAGCACCATCCATTAGCTTGGCAACTGAGAGAATTCACAGAGATACAAGAGCTGGGCGTCGGACAGACTCAGGTTCACGTGTTTATTTTCTAGTGAAGGATCTTGCCCCTAGGCTGGTACACCAGAATGCCTCTTTCACTGTTTGTGTGGGAGGTACTTTCCCCCGCTATCTAAGAAACTGAGCACTGCTTAAAAAATGTGAAAGAGAGGCTTTGGCTACAAACAGCAAAAAGGGAAATCAATTCTAATTTTAAAAGCAGGTATGTGTTAAGTGTCTGGTGTGATAAGCCATCACATTGTAACTTGAGAGTGTAATGTAATAGTTGCTAATCCAGTGAATGCTCATTCACGTGCTTGGATCTTGAAGCCCATTCTCATAGAATCATAGAATGGTTTGGGTTGGAAGGGACTTAAAAGGTCATCTCGTTCCAACCCCCTGCCATGGACAGGGGCATCTTCCACTGGATCAGGTTGCTCAAAGCCCCTTCCAACCAATGAACACTTCCACGAATGGGCAGCCACAACTTCTCTGGGTACCTGTTTCAGTGCCTCACCACCCTCACAATAAAGAATATTTTCCTAATATCTGATCTCCCCTCTGACAGTTTAAAGCCATTCCCCCTTGTCCTGTCACTACATGCCCTTGTAAAAGGTCCCTCTCCAGATTTCCTGTAGGCCCTTTTTAGTTACTGGAAGCCGTTCTCAGGTCTCCTGTGAGCCTTCTCCAGGCTGAACAGCCCCAGCTCTCTCAGCCTGTCTTCATAGGATACATGCTCCGGCCCTCTGATCCTCTCCATAGCCATCCTCTGGACTTGCTCAAAGCAGGTCCATGTTCTTCTTATGTTGGGAGCCCCAGAGTGAACTTAATAAAAAAGGAATCATAATCCTCCTATCCATGTTGTCTTCCCTATTTTATAAGATATCTAAATGCTGTTGCTTTTAGTGTGAAATAAGTTTTAGTGTGAAATAAGACAAATTGACACTGACCTAAAAGCTGATTGTTTGGTAGGCATTGCGATTTCCTATTAAACACAGACATTCGGTAAACTGTAGAATTATTCCATTGGCTTCCCCAAAAAATACTATACAATGCCTTATAAAAAGTACATGAAATGTGTTTATAAACACATAAATAGTGTTTATCATGTAAATTGCATTCAGGTACATTAGAGTAACAAGACTGAATTCTGAGAGGTTTCAGTAGTGCCCATTTCAGGAAGCAAGCAAACAGCAAGAGCAGAAGAGCAATGGAATACTCAGAAAGTGTTAGCTCAGCCCTCTCTGAGCAACCACGGTTACTCCCATCCTCTCATGAAAAACCTAAGAAAAAAGGAAGTGGAAGAGCTTGCAATAAAGTGAAAGGCCATCTAGGGTTTTTAGGTCATGGAGTGTGCATTTTTAAAAGGTGTACACCATCAGAATGGGAGAAAAGGGTAGGAAACGTGTGTTTCTGAAGCAACTACTGACTTCAGAAGAGTTACACAAGGCAGAAATGAGACTATATCCTGTTCACCATATTAGGCCAAGTTAGTAATACATTCACATTCAACTTCCTATTTAGTCAACATGAAACCTACAGCAGTTAAATCACACTACATTGAGCCTGCCTTTCGTCCACCAACCTCTCTCCTTGTTTGCCATACAAAGCTGGCTCAGGTTTGCTGCAGCTCTAGTTCTTCGGACAGTTAATAGCACAAACCAGTATTGCTCAAAGCTCTGAGATGAAGACTAGTCAACAAATCCAGTCATTGGGCAAAACATTGCTAAAGTTCATCTGTGGAACAGAAAGGCCTTTTGCAGGAGTTTTGTACTTCAGCAAGGAATGATGGCTGCTCATGCAGACATATCTGAACTGTATACAGAAGTCACGCCAGTATTGATCTCAAATCTGAAAAATAAAGTCTGTGTTAGGTGGTGAATGCTGGCAGCTATAAGCAACTAATTTAAAGCTTCAATTACAGTGTCAAATGCAATGCAGCCCCTACACCTCTCCTGGGGACTCAGATAAGCACTCAAAAAACTCCTCAAGAAGTTACAGACTGTAAGCTCAAGGCGCGAGGTGCAAGGTGCTTTGGTTAGCGAACACATTAAAATGCTTTACTGATAGGAAAGAGAAAGCAAAGAAATGTGATAGATATTATATCATTTAGTGTACTGAGAAAAGGCATCTCGGTTCTTGCAGGATGAGGCAAAAGAACTAGAACAGGAATGGATTGGATTGGAAGGTAATAGATAGAATAGAAAAGAACAGAATATAAATCACCTAGGCAATAAAAGTTGCTAACAAGAGAAGACAAATTTGGATATAATAGGTCAAAAGATAATTTTGCATGGACAGACTCAACAAAAGTAGTATCTTTCAAACATCTACAGATGCTGAAACAGTGCAACTTATGCACATACATTTATAAATATGAATGTTTTCCTGTAGCTTTCATAAAGATACGAGTCTCCAGTCCTACGACCTTGCATATTCCAGTGCATCCCAGCTTTCCAACAAAGGGCAGTTGCTGCTGTTTCCTCTTTACAGCACAGTGCATTTTCAGGTCATAATCCTCAGATGAAACCACTCCCACTGCCTGGGAGCAGTGAGTGATGTATAAGAAATGGGGCACCTAAGTCTTTGTTGCGTTTTCTTGAACAAGCTAGAAATAAGGGGTGGAAGATGTTGGAATAAGTCACCTTTTGGAACTTTTGTAATGATCTGGTTTGATGGAGGGGCTCGTATGTGAACACAAACTCTTTCAAGGGAGGAAGTAAACTGGATGGGATTGTCTGCGCCAGTGCAAATACAGATGCGTTTGCTGCCAGCAGACAAGGGCATAGTTGTATAAACAGTGCAGTGTAGACACTCCCAAAGTAACTTCTGCTCTCTCTGGAAGGGAGGGGAGCTGTGAACCCAGAGATAGATAGCAATCCACAGGATAAATATCTGGTCACCATATGGCTCAGGCCAATATCAACCACTAATACATATGCAGTGCAGGCTCACGTTCTTTTATGCTTTAAAAGTGCAGAAAAAAGGCCTGTGACCAATGTATGGCAAAAGCTTACAAAGTGATTTGAAATCAAATCAAAACAAAATTCCACTGGAATGCTGAAAGCTTCATACCTCAGTAAGGACAATTTCCGTGGCAAATGCTGTTTTCCCACTGAAGCCACTTCTTGGGTACAGAAAATGTTAAGATGCCAGAAATTCTTCTTTCACCCTGGGAAAAAGCTTTTTATTTTCACTATCCAAGAGCTTAAAAATGGCCCACGTAATTCTTACTTGAAATCTTCAGAAACCCAAACAAACTCAAGCCTTAAGTCAAAGAAAAGCCATGGAAAAATATAGCCTGCAAAAAAGAAGGTTTCAGAAACTTATATTAAAGCAAGAGCTAAAAAAATAATCTGATGGTATCGTCTATCAGGATATAAAGCATATATTATTTGTGTCTTTTACTTCCATTATAAGTCGAATGATTACCATCATTATAGGCCTCTTCGCACATTAAGCTATCATGAATCTGGCTTTCTGCTCTGCTATTAATTTTTTAGCTATGAATCACCTACATCAAGAATTTTTCTTAGTTTTCCAGTTCTTAACCCTAAGTGGTCTCTCTCAGAACAAATTTCTCTCACCCCACCTTACTTCTACTTCCCCCATATACACATATTATGTTTCCTGTGGTTGGATTAGTTTTGCAGTTCTTGCTCAGATAACTGCTCTTCTGACGACAAAAGTCAAAAGTAAACTGGGCTGAGTTTAAAAGTAGCCTAGCTTTGGTTCTCCTGGGTTTGGTTTTATGTATGTTGCCCTAAATATCTACACTGCCTACAGATGTTTTGCTCTGCTGAAGACTATATCAAATCCATAAAAAAACATGGTTTTATCTTGGCCCTGGGAAATATTTAGCATTTTCAGCCCTTAACAGAGAATTAACTTCTAAGTGACACATTTTGTAACTTTGCTGGAATAAATAGAGTGGGCTTCATACAATCCTTCCCTGGGCAGATTGGCAGAAGTTGCAGTTCTTGACACTCACAGCATAAAGTTTTGCAACATGAGTTGCAGACAATTTCTTTTATATAATGAATCTTCATGGGGTTCTATATGGCTTGCATCTTTGATTTAAGGCACTCAAATGGCACTAAACATGCAGTTTTTAAAAACCTATGTGTTTCATATGACTCTCTTCCAGATATTAAAAAAATATATATTTAAAAAGTTTCATCACTGACAAAGAATTCAAGTTCATTGGAACCACAGGAACTATAAATGAGTCAACTTTGTCATTTTTGGTGGCTTTAATAACTAAGTCACAGAAGTTGAGCTACTGATTTTGTTCACACTCAGGATATTTGGGTTAGGGTTTAGAGCAAGGTGTCCCTGCCCATGGCAGGGGGGTTGGAACTTGATGATCTTAAGGTCCTTTCCAACCCTAACTATTCTATGATTCTATGATTCTATTTTCAAATTGCCGTACTAACCTCATGTCACTAGGCAATCGACTAATAGTTATTTTGCACCAACACTATCACTGTTGTTATGTTTGTAGGACTCTACTACTTTTAGAGCACACCTGTAAGCTTTGAGAGAGTCTGGTCTTAAAAGGACGGATAGGATTTAGAATTAATTTTTATTATAATTCTGATTTCATTCTACCATAGCAACCCAAAATCCACAAATGGAAGTTTTGTAGGTATGATCATAGACAGAAAACTACATGTATGAAAGTGTGAGCAAGTTCTTTCAGGTCTAGAATCAAACGGTTAATCTCTCCCTCCCCTCCTTGGAGATAAAAGACACCAAACTTCCTACTTCCTGTTGCAAAATGCCATGCAAGTCTCCTGGGTAATTCAACTCTTAATACTTGGAAGGTGGCAATTTTATATCAGTCTTACCCCATTATTGTGCTTCTTTATTATGATTATTATTCAGCATTATTATTCTTGTTATCATTGTTATTATTATTGTTGTTGTTTTTATTTTTACTTCAAGTCAGAGGAAATGCCTTAAACTAGGGTGAAACAGAGAAGGGGGCACTTAGACTCCTAATTTGATGAGAGCAAAAGTAACCTGACAAACGGACAAACTAAAGTCCAGGGATGGGCCTTTTGCTGATATCCATTTTAAAAGTGTGTCAGACCCTATGTGCTACCTTCTCAACAGTGAGTTTTCAGGCAGAGGGGGGAAAAGGAGCTAACTCTGCGGACTGCTTCCACAGAGGCAAATATAGCCCCTTCTCCATGAGCGGAGAATTCCAGGATCATCCTGAGCTGCCTCTGAGCAACCACTGGCACCTGGCACAGGTTAGGAGAGCTTCCTGCATAACTGATGGTGCAACAAACTCTCCAGCACTGTGCAGGGTCTCAGCCCTGCAAACCCAGCACAGCCTGCATATAATGCAAAATCCACAGCAAACTCTGTCAGGGGTATTACTAGATGTGGAGATGAATTGTGTACAACTGTGCATTTAATATGTGGGGTGGATGAGTGTGTGGATAAAAGGTATTGCTATGAGCTTGGACATACAGAGGAAGCAAGCAGATAGAAAAAGAATTGCTTAGAAACACTCTAAAGTATTTGTAGAGCTTAGTTTTGTGTTTCTTACATTTCATCTGTAGTCTTTCTGGGGTGACTGCATCAGAGAGAGCCTTCTTATTAAAGGGAAGAAATGCGTTCAAAATCCTTTGTCCAGGATTGTGCTGTGATCTCATGAGAATTCATGTTTGCTCTTTTCTTCACAGTAGATTTGTAATGACACTCCTGACACATCAAAGTGCGCCTTAAGAATAGATGAGGCTGCTCTGTGAAGCACTGGGTTAAAAAAGTACAAGGTGATTGACTCATTCGTGGTCCATGGCTGTACAAACACTTCTAAATTGCTTCCGGCCAATGTTCTAGCACCTTTACCATAGAAACAAGAGGTAGCATGGCAAGCCAAGCTGTCCTTCAAGAGTCTCATCAAATGAAAACATAGCTGTGAAAATGTGTACACAAAAGCAGTGTTTGTAAAGGGTTATATTGTTGCACTTCTGCAGTCTCTTGCTCCTGTTTGTGTACCAAGCTTTGGTGAAACTATGGAATAAGTCAGAACTAGAGTAAGTACTTTTAAGCAAATTACTGACACTGTAAGTGCTATATCCAAATTATTATGGAGTTTGGATTTGTTGTAATGAATATTGTTCCTGCTCATGGAAGGGGGGTTGAAACCAGAAGTTCTTTAGGATCCCTTCCAACACAAAACATTCTATGCTTCTAAAAGGTCTTTTCTTTACCTAATTTTATGTAGTTCCCAGCACTTCTTTGTGGTGGTCGTGACATCATTTTACAGTCCTATGAAGGCAGCAGCCTGCATTGTAAAATGCCCATGGCAATGTCCACACCACACTGACAGACATGTAATTCAGCGGGCTGAAGTTGCAGTGGTTGCATCCTCTTAACCCAAACCTGAGTTGCCTGCTAGCTCCAGGTCAGAAGACCAGAAGCTTGTCCTTTTGCCTGTAAATGTGCAGAAAAGGGGCATACAACTCCACACCTCCAGACTTACCCAAGCTAGTTCCTAGCCAGCTAGCTGAGGTAGCCACAGTGGCAAAATCAGCCTCCACTAACCAGCATATTACCTGCCCAGGCTCCAAAGGCCATGTTGCCGCAGCTCCATGAAGCTGTTCTTCAACCAGCTGGATTACACCATCACATCTGCTGAGCGCTGTGCAGACATGGTCTGAATTGCTGTGGGCATTTTACAGCACAGGCAGCACAATGCTGCTACCTTTGTTGTATGTGAGGAAAATGATGGCATGGCCACCACAAAGGAGTGCTGGGAACTACTTCAAATTGGATAATCAGAATACTCTTTTCACTGAAACAAACCCAGGTTCTGTAATAGTTTGGATATAGCACTTGTAGTTTCAGTAATTTGAATATGGGAGTTGCAAATAGAAATCCATCCAATTATAAAAAATCACGCAATTATAAAAGGCAGCGGTCACTGATGCTATCTGCACTGCTGGTAAATACATCAAGAATGTCTTGTGGCCAGTATTTCTACTATTTGATGACCACATGATTATTTTTGGTTAGCTGTTACTATTTCCTTCTTGACTCATTCCTAAAAAGGCACTGGAACATCACAGTCTTATCACTCAGACAGCTGGAACTGCAACTGTCTTTAAATCAGTTTTGCAAACCCACACCCGGAGCATCCCCCCACCAGAAGGGTGTGCGCTCTGTATCTTGTCAGCTTGAAGTCCCCCCTTCTTGTCTGACATGAACCATGCGATCCTGCCTTTCATTTGGGCTTGTTGGGACTGGACTTAGTCTGAGGGGGAGCCATCTGCAATGCATTGGAAATAATGCCACACCACTGGAAGACAAGGGAAGAAATGTTGGCCTTGTGTGGTGGGGGAGATGATCAGTGATTAGTCTGAGCACATACTTTGTTACTGTCTTTTTTCATGTCCTGATCAGACTATTGCAAAACTGCATACGCAGACTCCCCAAAATGAGTCATGTCTGTCAGCGTGGATGTCTGCAAGATGTCTTTGCACAAAGGTGCTGAGCTGTGTGGGAAGCTTGGGGGAAAGGACCACCCTGGCATGGCACAACAGCTTATTTACTAGAGAGCATCTTGGTGGAAAACAGATAGGGGGTAGTGAGTCTGACCCAGCTGTTGGTTAGCTTCCAGGTAAAACGTAGTGGGTTCACTGTGACCCCCAAAGCCCTGCATGCCAGCTTGGCAGCCACGGGGCTGCCCGCCTGTGAAATACATCTCCCCTTGCATCTGCAGGGAGGTGAAGCTGTGCTCTGGAAGGGTAATCACCCAGAGGGGCTCAGGGCACTGGAATGTGATACTCACCACACCTCTGGGACCCCAACCTTTCCTCGCTTGTGGCATATTCCGATGTGTCTGGTTTTAGACCCACTGTCTGTGAGACTTCTCCTGTACACTGAATCCTACACTGGGAGAAGGAGTTGCATTACTCATACATAGTTTCAAAACTGGGGGCAAGCTGAATGGTTTCTTGCTTCCATAGATGTATGACTTCATCCTCTCTATCTTCCAACTTCATGCACTAGGACAGCTAGATTTATAAGATGATGCTCTTTTCTTCAGAGGCAGATCCACACTGCCTTATCACCAGCTGAACAAGAATTCCTTCCTTATCACCTGTTAAGTGGAAGGATCAGTGTGTGCTGAAATGGAGCAGTTATGTGGTGTCTCTTGGTTTCTACCTGTCAGTAAATCAGTTGCATTCAGTTCAGTAACTTGCCTTTTCTTAATATGTTACTTTACTTCTTGTTATTTAAACAAGAAAAAGATGGGTTGGAATGGCAATATTCAAACGTTCTAAAGCACAGCAGGCTAATTCAGTAATGTCTCAATATTGAACAAGTGAAACAATATTTTCCACTCACTGACTCCTGCGCTTTCCGCAGCAGGGCAATTTGCTCAGGTTATTCATAGGGAAGTTGTGATTAGCAGTGAGCTATTAATTGCTGAAACTCTCTGGTTTGCTGCTATTGTCCATAAAGAATGAGAAAATCTTAGGCAGCCCAGTCCATTCCAAGCCCTGCAATTTACACTCACTAAAATACTAGGACCAGAACTATATTCAGAAATTGTTCCATCCTACTCTGTGTGCTTCCTTACTCTGTTTCCTGGAATCTCTTTCCAAGCATTTACTGGGCAATTACTTTACATGCCGAAAGTAACATCTGTGAGACTTACCTTGATTTTTCTAAAGTTTATTCCCCTGTCATTCCTCAAAAAACCCCAAATTACAAACCTGTGTAAAAACTGATATTGAGAAATGGTAACGCAGATTTACACAACTTTCACACTCAATAGCTGTTTCTAGTAGTCTGCCTTTGTCCTTAGGATTTAACTAAATCTCTCACATAAAACAGAATTTGCTAGTACTTGACCTTTGTTTTCAGAGCCCACAAACACAAAAAGCATTTAGAATCAATGACAATGCACAAAACACAGCACACTTCACTTAGTGCTCAGGGCAACACAATGCTCATCCTTTATATGGAGATACCCAGGGTTAAAAAAGGATTAAAAATAAGCCATGGTATTCTCTTCTAGGTCTTCTGAAGAATCATGACCGCTGCTTCAAGCTGATTATACATTATTCAGTCCATCAGCACATGGTGCCCAACACTATTGCTCAAGTAATCTTTTCCTCACTACATAAACTATATCACCGTCCACTCTTAACTTGCCTTCACTGGCTTCCTTCCTGTCTCTTAACTCCTCACTTCAAGCTCTTCATCCTCCATTTAAAGACCAAACACCATCTCCCCCCTCCGTTCCTGACCCTACTTCCCTTTCCTCCCAGCAGGGCTGCCACAGCTTGCTTTGCTCCAGCTGCCTCTCTCCTTTTGTTTGCCAGCTGCTTTCTCCTGCATCCCTTTAGCTTCTCTTTGCACCACTTAAATCCCTTTCCTAGCTGGCTTTTCAGAGATACTTCACACTTTCTCTTTCTTTTCTCACACTGACTTCTTGCTGGTTTATTTTTCTTCTTCTTCACTTTGGTGTTAACATCAGAGATAAGGTGGATCTGTGGTGATTTGTCCTGAAAGAAAAAGTGAGTAAAACTTTAATTCTTGCAAAACTCATTGAAACATCTGAAAATTAACACTCAGAGGAAAAAAAAAATGGTGAGAAGCTAATTAAGGACACGCATGTTCAGTGGCCTGAAACTGTGTAGAAAAAAAACACTGAATGAGAAGCTACAGAGAATAATTTTGCTTCTGGTCAAGGGACAGTAAGCCACACATTAAACATATTCCTTGAATTAGGAGCAGTTTCAAGTCTGAAATTCTTCTTAGCCCTTGCAGGGAGGCCCACAGTGGAAGAAAGGTGTGCTCTTATCACACCAGACAGCCAGGTCTATAATAGTTCCTCCTGTCACTCAGGTCTATAATAGTTCCTTCTGTCACTCTCTTAGTCATTTACCACCCTACAAGCCCCGGGGACCTCCAGTCACAGCTTCTTTCCCACCCAGTGATGGGCTACACCTCTTGCTGCTATTCATGCAGCTGGGGAAAATTTGTCTGCTTCCCCGAGCAATAAAGTGTCTTTCTTGTGTCTTCTAGATCAGTCTTGCTCAGCACAGCTTGCAGCCCCAGGGTTCACAGCCTGGCTTTTAGCTTAACAAGAACCTGGGCATTAAATTAATAATTTATTTTTTTTCCTGTGGGAGTGGAAGGAGCAAAAAAAATACAAACTAATCTATTTAGGGCAAATACTTAAAATTATTTAATTTGTATTGTGACTGATGTTTTTGTCACCAGCATCCTGCAGAAGGGTCACTGTGTTTGCTTTGGCATTTTCAGACCCCCTGTAATATTGCTCATAATTTACACTTCTGAGGGGCTTCTTACATTTATGGCTTCTGGGATGCCTGGTTCTGGCCATATAGCGCAAAACACACATTTTGAAGCCTTCTATAGGAAAAGCAGAAGGTATCCACAAGTTAGGATTGATTAACTTCCTTAGCAAGGAAGACTAGGGGAGATGCATTCTGCATATAAGGTTGGCACTGATCCATTTCCATCCTCCCTGTTGGTTAAACTGGAAAAGACTTTTTTTTTATTATTATTTTCAGAACAGATTATGCTCATAGGTCATTTACACAAATTCATAGAATCATAGAATCACAGAATGGTTTGTGTTGGAAGGGACCTTAAAGGTCATCTAGCTCCAACCCTCTGTCATGGGCAGGGACACCATCCAATACAGCAGGTTGCTCAAAGCCCTGTCCATCCTGGCCTTGAGCACTGCCAGGGATGGGGCAGCCACAGCTGCTCTGACAACCTGTGCCAGTGCCTCACCACCCTCATAGTGAAGAACTTTTCCTAATACCTAATCTAAATATCTGCACAACATCTGAGGACTTGTTGTGGCCTTATATATAACATATAATACATAATATATTTTACTATAATTCTATATTATGTAATCTATTGTATTATATATACTATATAATACTTAAAAATACTATATATAGAATATTTTTAAATATTGTAGTATATAATAGTATATATAGTATATCTATACTATATA